ATATTAAACACAAATTTAACATTAAAATGTGAACAGTTAAATATTGTATATTGTGCTGCAGTGTTTTTTTTTAATCAGTGGCCGCAGATTTCAATTTTGCATTTAGGCCTATTAATTATGTGCACCACACATTTTTCCATATTAAAAATGGAAGAATTGTTTTCTTGCTTGATGTACTTTCATTAAAATTAATCCAGCTTTATAGATATTTTGTTATCTTGACTACTCGTTGAGTGTTCTTGTCCAGTGCCATAGTACCAGGGTTCATTTGGTCATTCAGTGCCTAAGTTTGGACTTTTGCCAAAATTATTGCACTCATAATTTTAGCTTATTGGTGTATTTAATGAAAGATGCTACTGGGCAGCAAATAGCATTTGGATTCTCCAGCATAACTCCACCTTAGCTTTGCTCCAAACAATCTTGGAAGCGATTCCGTATTTGTATTTTTTTAGACCTCCTTCAAGAATTTCAAACCTCTCTCCAGTCATCTCTCAGATTTTGCCATCCCCTGTTGCGAAAGTACATTATGTCTATAAACACTTTATCCTGCAACTCTTCTGTGATAAAATTCAGAGATGTTGGAATAACTGCCATACAGTATCTTCTTTTGTAACTGTAATTTTTTGTGCTTAATTTTGCCCTTTCCTTACCTCTTTTAGTTTAGAAAACGACTGAAACGCTCTGCAAACTCTCTAAATTTGCTGTCCTTTATAATATCAACTTTACATTGTTCAAAAAATTTCGCTGCAGCCCGAAACAAATGCTTTGTATGAATTTCTTTGAACATAGTTCCCCTCCTAGTGACGTGAAGAGGTGTAGGCCTTAGCTAGAACTCCATGGAGGCCTGCATTTGATAACTTGTTTACACTCGGCAAATCAGAGTTTGTGGCTTCAAGCTACTCTTCAAATATTCAGACAGCATACTTTACTTGCTACTCACTCACTATACTTTTCAAAATGTTCATCAACGTGTTTAAATCTGGAACAATTTGCCATGTGTTTCCTAGCATACCAATACGTAGTGGGCAGCAGAGCGATCAACTGCTTCCAGGTCATCAACAAATTTTATTCAAATTAGAAGTGTGCCACAAACAATAGGCTTAGCATAATTTTCTTCATTGGAAACGAATTGCGAGAGGAAAAAACACAAAAGACTAATGATTGGCTATTAGGGCATTGCTAGAACTATTGCCCAACTTTTTACCAATCAACTGTCTGGAATGTATGTACTGTAGTCAGTGCATAATATATTATGCACTTCTTGCTACATAATAACTTTATTTTATTTGAAATCTTGTAATTGATTTTATAGGAAACTATTTTAAGCAGCCATACATTCAACTAAAGTGTGAGCTAAAATGTGAATTCATCCAAGGCTTGTAGAGATCGGTCACTGAGGCAGAGTTGGTGGGGGGGAGATTTTGATAATATCTATCATCTAAATGACCTAGGTAAGTAGTAATTTAGAACATGTTTGCCTACTAAGAGAAAAGAGAAATTTCATGGGTCACAATCTAGAATTTGTCAGTGGACTTTTTTCAGTAAATTCTTTACATAGGCCAACATTAATTAGGCCAAATAAAAAAAATTATTGCGTTGGCCAGCCCGACCGACGTCAGTACTATGCCGTGTGTACTCGCCGTGAGTCTTGGGGAGATGCCTTATTGGTAAAATGGTCAGAACCAGACAATTCCGACTTTTGATAGTGTTTGGAATGTGTTACTTATAGAAAGTAACACAATTTTCACATGGCCTAGAATATTAGCTATATTTTAAGTCAGTGGTGATGTTGTAATTTTCATTTCCACATAAATTTTCTACCTATCTTTATTACTCTACATGCATATTGTGGAGTTACATTGATGTGAACTGTAAAGAATTAATATTGTGTTATTAAATCTATTTTAGTGTGAAAGTTTGTGAAGCTCAACATTTGGAGTAATATTATACAAGGATGCTGGAAACAGGTAAAATATTGATAATGATAGTTGGTAATATATGGGCCTGCAATGCTATTTCACACACATAGTCATCATGCACAAAAGTAATCACAAAGTGGTGCTTCATTATCATCACTCATTAATAAATGCAAAATTCAGCCCCGGCATCTTTCCAAGCTGTGCATACATACAGTACATTCAACATAATATGTATTCTACATGTTTTCAAATTATTGCTTTAATGATACAACCATTTGCATGATAAATAAATCCTGGATTAATCATAATTGAAGATTTTTAGTTATTTTAAAGCCTGATGTATACATTTATGTAGTAGGAAGACCGAATTCTATACATCTTGCTCAGTATACTTATATATATACAGTATACTAAATTTTGAGAATGTCTCGCCCTACAGTATGTGACCTTTTATCATTTGCATGCAGAACAGGTTTATGTTTATAGGGAGAATTTGATAACCTCTAATGTAATCATCAAGTGCTGAAAATTAATTATTAACAATATACTATTAAACTGTTTTTTAAATTTTATACATTACAATTATTATTTTTATCATTTGAATTTCCCCACAGAGTTCTCGTCGATGCTAGTGCAACTTTCTGATGCAATCAGCAAGAAAGGTGAAAAGTATGTAGACCTGTTGAGGGTTCTGTACAGAGATCTTGCAAATGTTAAATCAGATTTGGAGAAAGCTAAGTGTGCATTTGATTTATTTCAATTGCTAATAGCACCTGGCATTTTGAAGCCAACAGACATTTCAGTTTTGTTTGAAACAATTGAACTAACTGGATTGAAATATTTGAAAGAAATAATCAAGAGATATGAGACATATCCTGATGAAGTGAAGATCACTCGATTTTCACCACATCGTCAACAGGTTGTTGCTCTGGGAAAAGACTTTTCAGTTAAAGATCTCCAGAAAGCTAGTCAGTTATGCGAAGGCAATTTTTCTAGTCCATGGAAACTTATTCAACATCTTGAAGATACATCTGTTTTAACAGAAAATAGCATGTCATCATTTCTTCAACGTTTGAAGGATAATAAAGTAAATGAAGGTTTGTAATAAATATAGAATATCACATTTAAATATCCATGCATGTAGGACATGATAATTAAAAGCTCTACTTTTGTATTGAGATAGTTCTTAAGCAGTTTTCAATTTAGAGATTGAATTCAATGAGAATAGTCGACGTGAACCACACTATGATTTTGCTCATAATGCCCAATGATTCATTCTCTTTACAGACAAGTCAGGACAATCAGAACAGCCACAAAGGTCAAGGGCAGATGAAGGTGAGTTTATTAAATAGCATTATATTGCCATTTTAAGTAAATTCTAACAAAATCTAAATTATACATAGACAAGTTTAATAGAGTAGTTACATATTGCACACTGGGAAGTTGTTGAGTTACACGCTTCGCAATACCGGTACTGTTACCTATGTACAGTAGATGACAGGTGTATATTATTAGTTCGTATATCAAAATTGGCATTAGCCTATCAATAAAATTAACATATTGCAACTAAATGTTTAAGTCATTAGAATTATACAATATTTCATCATCAGTTGCATCATAATTTGAGTGGGAGGCAGTGGACAGCGGGGCTCAAAGCATCAGGTGTCTGTTAGCATATTTTTAATTAAAAGAAAATTGTGTTCCCAGGCAACACTGAGAATTCTTAACATACAGTAGGTGATACAACAAAATTTGCAATTCAAAAATGCCCAGATCACCAGATCACAAGTGGGCTTTCTCTTCTTCTCCCATATCCATCTCTGGACCTCTGACTAGGGCCAAGCATACTCTAGCCCTACTATAGAACAAGGTTGCTCACTTTGCTCTGAATTACAACAGGCTTGTATAGGGCTAATACTTTCCTCCTAGCCTAGAACCCTGACAATTGCATGATGTCACTGTTCTTGATACCGCCACCAACACCCCCTTCCCCTGCTTGTTCTCTCGCATCTCGTCTCTTATACACATCTAGATGTGTATAAGAGACAGGTTAAATCCTAGGATGCACAACCTACTCCTGCCTGTAGCTGCATTGGTACAGTATTTGAATATACATGGAACACTACTATGAGTTCAAGCTGCTGTATGTGGTTTAAAAAGAAATTTAAAATCAAACTAAATATTTATTGTATTGACATTAATGATGAGAGTAATGATAAAGCTTAGGGAGGTGGTAATGAAAAAGAAAGAACAAGTAAATAATTAGAGCTACAAAATTGTTTTTGCAATCATTATGAAAATGATAATACTAGGAATAGGTTCAGGGATGGACAGTTAAAGGAGGGTCTACACCACCTTAGCCCCATCATGGTTGGGAGCAGAGACACAACATTTTATGGCACATATAGTTAGCCTGAAATGGCAATCTCAGACTTTAATTTTAATAAATATTTTTTTTCCTTAACTTTTTAATTTAAAAAGAATAGAGACCTCAGGTAGGATTCCCTCACCCCACCCTCTTTCCCAATTGAATAACTTGTTCGTTTATTCATCTAGATGAAAATTCTGGATTTGTATCAGAAAATGGTATTGAAGTCATTGAACTGAATGATGTAAGGTAGAAGTGTAACAGGAACTTAATTATATATATAATAGCTATCGATTAATTTCCCATCGATTTATAATCAGGTGGTACTGGGGTGGGACAACTTAATTTCCTGCTCCACAACAAGTTATCCATTCATAGAAACCTTTATGAAGAAAGCCTACCTAAAATGGCCTAGAATGGCATAGACCAGCTATCTCCAGCTTTGAATATAGGAAGATTGAAATGTATTAATAGAGTATACAATGTACACAGTGTTCCTTTGAAAATTTATATTAAGTATATGTTAGTAATAATAATGTAGGTTTATTGTTATTATTTGTTTTGAACAATTTCAGATATAATTATCAAAGATTCCCTGATGACGAGGCAAAAAGAACTGTATCAGAATGAGAATCGTATGACACCAGCAATCTGGCATAAATGTCATAAAATAGATATTGCACAAGTTTTCACTGAACTCAAGTTGCTGCAATCTAAAAAAGAAGACAAAGGAAAAGAAGACAAGTCAACATGTACAAAAAGGGAAGGTAGACCCACATCATTAACAGAGGCATTAGATGTTATTAGGTCAACAGATTCATGTAAGGTATTAATAACAGGGAAGGGAGGAATGGGTAAGACTATCCTCCTTAAGTATATTGCTCATCAGTGGGCTACTGATGGTGAACATGTCTTTGCTGATAAATTACTGTTTCTGATAAATATCAGGGAAATTAAAGCAAGTAAAACGTTCTTGGACATAATATTGAACAAAATTGACTGCAAAGCAATAATATTGAAGAATAATTTGTCATCTTATTCAGTTGAAAGGTTCTTGGTCACACATGATGATAAAATAGTATTTTTGTTAGATGGATATGATGAGTTAGAAAAAAATTCTAAGGACCCAATAGATCTTTTCAAAAAAAGTGAATTTCAAAAAAGCACGGTGGTGATAACATCTCGACCAGACAACACAGCTGATTTGCTTGAATACTGTGATGTACATATTGAAGTAAAGGGATTCAGTCCAAGTAACATAAAGAAGTATATTCAAAATTATTTTCATTCAATCAGTGAAATCGAAATTGGCGATTCATTAATAAAAGAGTTCGGACTTGATTCAGAGCAACCATGGTATAGGAAAGACCTGTATAAGGGTGGTAAACACAAAGAAGCATTTGAATTGTGTTCATCTCCACTGTTGTTGCTTCAGATTTGTACCATATGGGAACTAAAACGTGTTCTTCCTGAATATTTGCCCGATCTTTTCAAGGACCTCATTTGTTGTATTTTAAATCAATACTTAAACAGGGCTGGCAATAAAACTGCTATTGCCAATTTTGAAAGAATTCAAGATATATATAAATCTGCCTTTTTAATTTTAGGAGAATGTATGTATGAAGGACTAAAGAAAAATATATTATCTATTGACAGATACGATTTGTCAAATGTGACACAAAATAAAACATTATTAGATTTAGCACTGGAACTTGGGTTTGTTTATGAAGATACCCCTGCTAATCCAGGGGATGTAAGAGAGATGTACACGCCACCACATAAATTAATGTCAGAGGCGCTAGCAGGGTTGTACCTGTCTACAGAAATTCAGAAAGGGAGTTCAAAGGTTGAGTATGAGGAAATCCGATGTAATGAATATTTAAATATGACAAGGGTGTTTGCAATAGGATTTTTAGGTGCTGATGCTGATAAGTTGCTGAAACCATGGTTAATAATCAGGGCCTCAAATTATCGCTCAATAGTACAATGTTTAAAACATGTAAAGAAAGAGCATGAAGATGATATTTTAGTGAAATTGGATAAGCACATGTCCAACGATATGAAAGCACATAGTGAGCAAATGTTGGAGTCATTTAGAAGTCTTATAAATGATGGCAGAGACATATCAAGTATGCATTTATTCAAACTCATGAAAAGATGTAGCATTGAATATGATCCTTACAATCTTGAAACAGCAGCAGTATCTTTGATAAATAGGTGTAGGGAAAGGCAGTGCCAAATTGTTGTACATACCTTAGTGTTATTACAAGTAATG